TATAACGAAAGTTCGTTAGTATTAGCTTTCATTCATACAAATCTTAATATTTATACAGAAAAGTCACAAACTTTCAAGGTAGGGACCTGGTCAAGAAGCTGAAAATTCAAAAGAGATGCAATAACTCCTGCTATTTTGTTTGTCCAATCCATCCTATCAGCTTCATTTTCAGCCTGAACAAACAGAAGGTAAATAGTAGCCCTTCACAATGTCGTCCCAAATACTTCAATTATATAGCTAATGATTCAGCGAAATAACATATGCACGAATGTAATTTGTACAATGGTTATCTCAAGAGTTCAGATGAGTTAAGCCATGCATGCAATTAAAGTACTACAGTACAGCAGCACAAAGCAATAACCAACAACCAATCAACTAATTACCTGCAATGTATAAGTTTTCAATGGGGATATTATTCTAAAGCAAAGTCGAAGATCTGTATCCTCTGCGTCCATCTTTATTGTTGAGGTACGCAGATCAACAGTACGGCAGCCCAGAATGTTTTCATTAAGTGACGCTACCCTATGTCTTGAACGAAATCTGCTAAACACACCACTGTGATGTTCCGGTGAGCGAGTGAAATGATGTGACTGGGAGCCGCCCTATGATGGTAACAGATACAAGAGAAGAAAATTCATGGTCTATGCAATAAAACTAACATCTCTGGAATATAACATGTGTGGTATGGTAAACTTAATTAAAGTAATTCAAAGATAGAGAATGCACAAGTTACAGAGAAGATTTAGCAGAGAAAATGTTAACACACCATGGGTTTGGTACCCTTAATTCTGTAATAAAATAAAGCCCCATGACTGTTCAGAACGAAAAACCTCCTCTTCCAATCTCCCCTCAAACTTGAAGATCGTTTCACTAGATATCCTTGCTTGATCGTCTGGACCTAAAATATGAAACAAACAAAGAAAAAAAAAATTATGTGATTAACCTTCTTTGCAGTACAGTAATATTGCCAATAAAGTGGCAGTCTTGTTAAAAGTTGAGTTCTAAGAATACAAATAATAGGAGACACTTATAAGCCAAAAATGGAAGACACATTTTAACATTTTCTACAAATAGAAAGGAAGCTCATATAATGAAAACTTACTAGTTTAACAATGAAAAAAGACTTCTTCAACCAATGCTATTACCTTCCCATTTGCACTGGACTGCATGATTGCTTCTATGTTTTTGTGAGAAGCTAAACCAAAGGCGCGATTTCCATCAGCCACTGCAGGAGGCTCAATATTACTGGAAGCTCGTATACTGTCCAGCTCAGCTTGTGTCCTATATTCCTGAATCCTTTTGTGAAGTTTATCTTGTTCAACAGTGGCCTGTTCTTTAGATTGTTGTGCGTACGTTAACACCTGATTTCAGGAAAACATGTTCATTATTAATTGAAAAGATATTTCCCTGAAGCCACAAAAGTTGAATGGTACAGAGTTAATGACACTGATAAATTAAAATACTTGTAAAAATGGACAACCATAAAAAGGTTGTGCCCATGGCATGCATGTCAATGACACAAAATCATCAATTGAGATCAGGATAAACTTCATGAATCACCTCTCTTATTTGTAAGAACACGCATCTTTAATATATCTGTAACTATCAATAAAAAGTGAATTACATTCATACCTGGTGAATATATGGTTCCATTTGGCTGAATAACTCGTATCCCTAAATCACAAAAGGAAAATATAAAAAATAACAAAAAAAAAAAAAAGAAATCTTCACAGTTGTCAAAATGGCATACATTCAGATGTAAAGAAAACATCTAATGATTGCACAAACAGACCAGCTTAAAGTATCTCAGATGCGCATCCATGATTGCACTAATAGACTCCAAAAACTCATACTTCTTTTTTGCTTCAATATTCATTAGTGAGTTTACCTGCAGTCCTTAAGATCACAGAAAAAGGTCATTACAAGCAGAAACCTTTAAGGAAAATATATGTGACAGATGCAAAGAGATCTGCAAACAGAGAAGACATACTAGGTTGAAGCGGCTTTTCTCAAATGTTGATTTTGAATTTTGTAGATCCTGTCATGAACAAAAGATGGTGAGCTCCTCAACTTTTCAAACAAGAGGGTATCTACAGTCTAGGTAAGCAATTACTTTAGTTAGTAAATACTTTAATTAACAGGCACACCTCCTCTAGTTCTGCAACAATGTCTTCCCGTGTATTCTTCTTTAAGGACACAAACTTTTCCCGTGCCTGAATTGAATAAAACAAAACTTTATGCAACTTCATTAGATGTCAACTCAAGGATACCTAAAAGCTACCAAGGAGAAAACTAATCAAAAGATATTGTTATAATATATTGGCAACCAAGGAGATCTAAGATGTATAATATATTGGCTCATCCTTCATACAAAAAAACAACATATTAATGAGTTCCACCCGATTCTGAATCTATAAGACACAGCCCAATGGCAAACTAGGTAGGTCTAAGAAACTAGAAGCTTCACCTTTTGGGGACAGTAGCTACTATAAAAGCAAGTATAAATATATAAATTGAATTAACATTATTGCCACACAGGTACAAAATGTTCGAGGTGATCAGCGATACCTGATCATAACCATGTATAGCTTTGTCGAATTGACGTCGGGACTCCTGCAAAATTAATAGAAAAGCATGTACGGCAAAAGAAATCAAAATTTTTTTACTTCATCTCAGGAGCCCGAACTTCATCCACTGCCACAGTGCCAGCACCAATTTCCATTGGTATAGTTATAGTACCAGTATATAGAAACAAAGAAATTACCTTTGCATCTTGCAGATCAACAGTCATAAAGTGCATCAACCGATCAACTAAAACGTGCTCTACCTGTAATCCATAATTTTACCCACTAAGAATGTAAAAAATAGAGAGAAAAGATAAAGAAGTTTACATAATGTTACTTAAATATATTTTCTCTTTTTCGATTCACCATTAGTACATAATACATAAAACCTTGACTCACTTTCACTATTTAACATATTTAGAAAGATTATTAGGGTGATTTGCTATCTAAGACTCACTTGGGAGCGCAGAAGCTCCTTATAAGTGGCAAGCTCTTGAAATGCAGTAACGAATTTGGATAATACTGGACCTGGAAGAAAATATCACATATATAGCAAGTTACAATAACATATCAAAACAGAACCAAAAACGAATGCTTTCCTTTCAACAGAAAAAGTAGGATGATAAACATAACACGGTTGAACTGAATTTCTTTTTTATTTTAATTTATTACATGAGGTTTCTTTCACATTCGATGTTATACCAAAATTACCCCATAATTACAGCTTAATATACAAAATTTCACTTTTCTCTTTTACAAAATTTGTTGATAACTACCATTAAAATCATTTCCTATTAGAAAAACCCTCCAATGAAATTTTGAAAATCATTACTTATCATTTTTCAGAAGCACCTTTATGATTTCTAGACATTTTCTAGAAAAAAACAAATATCAATCCTAACAACCTCCAATGGATACACTAATAGGATCGTCCAGTCCACCACCAAATGCTTCCAAAGATTCTGAAAAAATGGTGTCTCCATTGCATGCTTCTTCCAGAGCCCCCCTGTGAGTAAAACAAAGCCAACAATCAAACTTTCCTCAGCCATTGACTTTAAGCTTTATTATAAAAGAGCGGACTTCGATTCTTCAATTCATAAGTAGAACCAATAAAACAGTTTCCCAGGAATATCATCATACACTTACATAAGCTTCTTAGACCCTTTGCATAATTTTTGGCAGCGATCTTTCAACTCATCAGCTGTTTGTTCCATAGAATACATCTGTCAAAGAATCCAAATTTCACCATTCCGATACCATTTAAGAACACGAGAGACGCCAACAACATACAACATTAGCTATAGTATCTATAAAACCTGTTAAATTTGATTATAGCTAGTCTTCGAATTCAAAAATAAATGAAAAATATAAACTACACCAAAAGATGTCTAATTTTTCTCCTGAAATTTGACTTTCTCGCATATCTTCTTCTTTACAACTTCCATGCAATTAATCAACATGCTTTGAATATATCTGTGTATATATAAGTAATTCAAGTACAAAATTCTTTTGAAATCCAGTAAAACTAATTGTCAGCTGAAAATATTTCTTTGAAATAGTACAATCATTACACCAAAAAGCCGAGAGAATTTTGCAATTTACAGTGAGCTAGTGCAATTTCTCGTTCCAAATTCATGAGATTTCAAAGATTGAAGCTTTTACAAGAATCCGAAATCCGAATATATACATATATACACACACACACACACACACATATATATATTACCTGCTTCTGAAACATTGGGGAATCCTCGAGCTTGATGAAGGCCGCCATTTTTTTCCCCTCTGAAAATTTGGAGATCCAATCGCAATCTCTGCTTGTCTCTTTCTTTCTTTATTCTGTATTTCGCTCGATTCTCCAGCCAGTTCTCAGGGTTTTCCAGATCGAATTCGCGCGGAGGGGTTATTTGGTCAAATTTCCCTCTACCGATTCGCGGACTCTCGAAAATTTCATATTAGAAGACTTTTTGCGCGCGTATGGATAATCTCACCTTGTTTGGGCCCTTCGATGGTGATGGCCGAATATTCTTCACCGTTGGATTTCATATAAGTCAAGTAATTTTTAGTTTTTTTAGTTTCCACGTGTACCATGCCAGACTTTAAACAGATGTTCTGACGAAAATACTAACACAACTATAAAAGTGTCACATAGTTTACACCTGGTGAAAAAAACTTAATATATAAATATTTATAAATAAAAGAATAACAAAACAATAATTACTGTATAATAATTGTATGGATAATGCAGAAACTAAATATTTTAAACTAAGTTTACAAACCGAAAAACATAATTATTAAAAATTATATTATTATTTAAATATTAATTAACATGTTTATTTTTTTATTAATTACACGTGATTAACTTTTGTAAATTTGATTTTTAAATACATCTCCGCAACATTATTTTTTTTTTATATTGAAGCTTTTTGGAGTCTGTCAAAAAGCAAGGCGAGTACGCGCACCCACCATTCCACTCGTCCCGCCCAAAACCTTGGCGTCGCTTGGGAACGATTGCAAATGACGCCCAAAAGGTGGATCGATGGGGACGAGAGCGCTGCCGAGATGCTCGGTCGGGTTGCGGCGGAGCGACCCTTCTTGCTCATTCCCCCTCTCCACCGCGTTCCACTCCGCGTTGGCAATGTTGTGGAGCTCGTCGGGCCCTCTTCTTCCGCCAAAACCCTCATCCTCATTCAAGTCAGTCTTCCATTTTTTCCATAATTTAATTTATTTTTAGTTCATCGTTTACTATTTCGTTCACAAGATTGATATCTTTTTGTATGTAAAAGTTGATTCCGTTATGTTTGATTAGGCTGCTGTGAACTGCATTCTCCCAAAGGAGTGGAATGGGGTGCACTATGGGGGCTTGGAGCGTTTGGTAATGTTCCTTGACTTGGATTGCCGCTTCGACATTCTCCGCCTTTCGGAGATGCTAAAGCTCCGAATTATGGAACCCAATGGTGAGTTTTGGCGTTGGTGTTCCTCATTTACTAAGAAGAAGAATGAAGAATTTTCATTTGATATTGCTGCTAAAACTTTTTGCTCTGCATAATTTGCTTTAGGGTCAATGAATTACGACGAGGGTTTGTTTAATTTGTGCATGAGACGCTTCTTGTATGTCCGTTGCTACGATAGTCTTCAGTTTCTTGCCACTCTCAAGGTAAGAAGCTCTTTTACCTTCATATAAGCTTGTATTCAGAAACGAAAGGAGAAAAATTATCTTTTGTAGATAGTTGAAGAATGTATAACAGTGGGTTTATTTATCCTTGTATTTTAGACAATGCATTATCGGCTTCGAAAGGAGAAAGAAGAGCATCATGTTAGCATTTATTTACTCATGATTGACAGGTTTGTATTGGAATCTGGGATGTTGTATCACGTTTCCTCCTTTGCTCAAATCATGATGATGCTGTATATACACATTTTGACTGAGAGAATATTCAGTTTAATTTGACAATTGATCTCTTATTGGCCTCCTTATTTTGACAGTATTGGATCTTTCCATTGGATAGATCGTGGCTCAACATTCTTTCCGCTTGGGGGCGAGAAGAGGTAACTAATATAGTTTGTTACCTTTGTTCATAGCATGTTTGTTATCTCTATACTCTTGAATGACTCTGATTATAAATTATTAACGGTCTATTGCATAGGAAACGCCTCTCTCTTCAGAATGTGTCGGATTCTGTAGTTCAAGAGATCAGAAAGCTTCAGCTGGTGCATCCCATGCTTGTGATAGCTACAAAAGAAATACTTTTGGGGAATGCATATGGTGCTTATGAGGCCAAACAGTGAGTTCATTAAAAAACTCATAAACTTTAACTTCAGCTGTGTTGTATATGCATGCTTTGCTATATACTATGCTGGTCTCAGTTGTTAATACAGAATTTCAGAAATAAATCTTTGCCAGAGGTCTCGGATTTAAGAAATTCAACGAGTAATACTCAACAACTTCCATATCGCGAGTATATGCCATCCGTCTGGCAGGTAATATTCATCAATAGTTGTAATATTGTGAGTTAGGGTGCAGGGAATATTAAAATTATGACTCAGAAAATCAAGAATCTTAATATTTAGAGGGATGGATGGATAGAGGGATAGCTAGAGATATGTTTATCGAGCTCAGTTGACATGAGTTCTTGTGATTGCTTGTTGTACCTCTAATACTTTGTTTTTGCTCGCATGTTACAGTCCTTTGTTACACACAACTTACTTGTACGAGCTTCAGGTTAATAATTTTCTTTTCATGGAAAATATTTTTGCTAATCTTTTGCCTTTAAATATTTGTAATTCTTTTTCTTGCCAATTAATTAATATCATTGACTACAGATATAATTTTGTTATTTCCTCCTTCCAGATGATCATCTGCCGATAAGACATCATGAAGAATCTTCCCTCTATTTGTCTGAATGGTTGTTGCCTTCACTTAGTTTCCGAGACAAGTTTATCGTGAAAGATGTGAGAAATCTCCATGTTTCTCATGATTGACAACTGTTCAAAAAATCTTTAGTTTTTGTTTTACATAATTGAGGTCGCAATCTGCTTCTGCAGGCTGGTATCGTTATGGTTTCCTGATGAGAATCTGGCAGGCAAATGGAGTGCTGTCTCCTTATTTCGTGAACTCTCATGGTGCCAAGTATCAGGTGGTGCTTCTGCTATCCATTCCTCCCTCTCTTGCATTTTTGCATTAATGTTTGCGTAATATATGGGAGAGCTTGCAAAGTTAAAGCAAAGAACACATCCAATGTCATGGCTACGATGCATGGTTCAACAACTCAACATACACGGGAGAGCTTGCGTAATTAATGTTATTGTCTCACATTTGGAAGATTTTGCTTTCTGTTAAAGATTTCTTGGTCATTGCAGGGAACTATCAAAAAAAAGAAACAAGGGAGTTTCATGAAGATTATGGAAGTGCAGACTTGTGGTTGGGTTCCAGTTTTGGGGATTTGCCCATCTAGTGGTACTGGTATCATCGTATTGGATTGACCTCCAGGTTGCAGCACATCGGATCGGAAGATAGCGTTCCGCTTGTTGCTTCGTTCGTGTAACACGAGCGCGGTGACCTCATGCATGAAAATTGAAGGGAAACAAAGAGCAATCTTTTCTTTTGACAAATAACCAGATGAGGATATCATAGACCTAGCAGTGTACATGATTTGGAGACCATTTAGAAATTCATGTGTCAACATATTGACTCTGACGATTATGCTGTTTGTAAGGTGAAACAAAAGGAGGAATGATAAGAAGCCAAGCTGTATCCGTTTACGGATATTCAGTCGCTGATTTTTTAAAAGATATTTCAATATGATAGTGTTATTTACATATATTTTTACTTTTCACGTCCCCATTTTTCACCTGCAAGCTTTTCCTTTTGGCATGGAGTTGATGCGGGGGCCAAGATCTGTTAGCTGCAATTGATAGAATGACTTGTATGGAATTGAGTTCAGTTTGGCCACAATAGCAAATTTCTCGAGATAATCGATGCTATAGGTTTGTGTGAAACCTTTCGCCACAATACAAGCCCTCTCGATGGAGCCATCAGCTTTGTGTTTCACGGACCGACCTGCAGCCAAATGTACATTTGCCTCTTCGTAACGTGATCAGTTCTCAAGTGTCGTTTTTGTTTAGACCTTCTATTTTTTCTATCATAGCTTCCTTCAAATTTTAACCGTCGGATTGAATGAATAAAGAAGATTAGTAGTAAAAAATTAAGGCTAAATAGCCAAAATGGTCCATGAGATTTGCATAACTCATCACTTTGGTTTCTTAACCAAATTCACCCCATAATATATCAAAATGGAGATAGGAAAGTGTAGAATAAGATTATACCTATTTGGAAGCCTAATGGCTGCCGAAGATGGCCGATAAATAGCCTCAAAGTTGACTAGTCCGAGGAAAAATTGGAAAACTCGTCGGAAACTGGGTAAACTTTAAACGTTCATAACTTCTTCAATACTCAACAAAATCAAGTGATTCAAAAATGAAAATCATACTTCTTGACGAGTCAAAGAGAATGGTATCTTTGTAGACGGCTAAATTGTCGTGGTTTGGCCGAAAAACTGCTCGAAAGTGGCTAACTCGAGACCAAGACAACTACTTTCAAGCTGTTTTCCGGACAAACCAATGCGAGTTAGCCGTCTAAAAATGTATCATTCTCTTCTTCTCATGGAGAAGTATGATTTTTTCTTTTGAATCACTTGATTTCGTTGAGTATTGAAGAAGTTATAAACGTTTAAAGTTTACCCAGTTTCCGGCGAGTTTTCAAGTTTTCCTTCTGAACAGTCAACTTTGAGGCTATTTTCCGACTATCTCTGGCAGACATTGGGCTTCCAAATAGGTATAATTTTATTCTAGACTTTCATATCTTCATCTTGATATATTATAGGTCGAATTTGGTTAAGAAACGATTAAGTTACGAACCTTTGAAAATTGTCCAAACTTTCGACCAAGAGCTCTGGGATACTTAACCGAGTTTTTAACGGAATAACCAAAATGATGGATGCTGGACAATCTCAAATACCACTTTTATCGATTTGAAATGTTAGAGACCAAAATAATGAGTTATGCATATCTCAAAGATTATTTTGGCTATTTAGCCAAAAATTAATAAGGATACATGAAAAGTATAACTGGAGGTTTGAATAGCTATTTTTGACTTTGAGTATTGATTGTTTTCCTCGTTTACGACGAGATATGGGAATGAGAAAGGTTGATATTTGACGAGAAAAAGAATGAGCTCGATCATTTTCCCCGGCGTCTGTAATCTTCCCGCCAATTCAAAAAGCACAATACGAGCGTTGGCGCCAATACACAAAGCATATCACTCTCGTCGTCTGAGCACTAGCGGCATTCCGTCGGAAAAGGAGAGAAAAATGGGTTCAACATCGAAGACCGCCGCCAAGAAAAACAAAACCCTATTCGATCTCTTCCCACCCGCCACCGCTCCCTCTGCCAAACGCTTCAAATCCGATTCCACCGCCAGTGCCGGCCACTCACTCTCGTCTACCACCAACAATGACTCCTCCGCCGCCTCCACAGACCTCACCGCCCAGCAGAAGTCACGCATCGAATTCCAAAAGCTGCTCGCCAAAGCCAGACGCAACCTCTCCACCTGTTCCAACAGAGTCTCCCATTCCAAGTCCAAAGGTATTTAATTAATTAAATCAAATTTTACCAAATTAATTACTTTCTGCAGATTTCGTACTGTTAATTTTGGGTCCGGGTAATTACTAAGTAGGCGAAGGAGTGAAACTGGAGGAGCTGTTGGTGGAGGAGACGTGGCTGGAAGCGTTGCCGTCGGAGCTTCAGAAACCCTACGCCAAGACCCTCTCCAAGTTCGTTGAGAGTGAGCTCTGCGGGGGCGTTCCCATATATCCGCCCACTCACTTGATCTTCAACGCCCTCAACTCCACCTCTTTCGACAGGGTCAAGGCTGTCATCCTGGGTCAGGACCCGTATCACGGTCCGGGTCAAGCCATGGGTCTCTCTTTCTCTGTTCCTGAGGGTGTCAAGGTCCCCTCAAGTCTGGTTAATATATTCAAGGAACTGAACAAAGATCTTGGCTGTTCAATTCCATCTCATGGCAATCTTGAAAAATGGGCTGTTCAGGTACACTTCTATTCATTTCTAAAAATCACTTTTGCTAGAATTGCTTCATGTAAAAGCACTTGGAACTGCTTCTTAGAGTTAGAGGTGCTTCTTCATGAAGTGCTTTTGAATTGTAGAAGCATATACGAAACATAGGAAAACTTTTTTGTGCAAACCAAGTCTGGCTTCTGCTTGATTTAGCTTCTTTTATGTGATTTGTGAATATTGACTGACGTTCATTTTTCAAATTGATTCTGTTTTGTAGGGTGTTCTCTTGCTCAATGCTGTTCTCACTGGTGAGTCTCACATGTTCAACATTTTTCTCACTTTTCTTCAGCATACTTCTTATGATGCTCGTCTTCCATTTTACAACTAAAGCGGTAATCTTGTTAGTTCTGTTCTATAATGTTCTAAAGTATATTGGTTCAGAAAATGCCAATGGCTTTTGATACTTGTCGCTACCATTTTCACCCATCTTGTGACCTTTCCGGTTTCCATTTCATATTCAGTTAGGAATCATCAGGCTAACTCTCATGCAAAGAAGGGATGGGAGCAATTTACCGATGCTGTTATCAAAACAATTTCACAAAAGAGGGACGGAGTTGTTTTTCTTTTGTGGGGAAACTCTGCTCAGCAGAAAATCAGGTCCGTTAATTTGTAACGTTGAGTTGTTTTTCATCCTCGGCCATGTTTAAGTTATTCCAATTTGCAGTGTGCTATTTGTATTTAACAGAGGGCCTAACGTTGCTTCATACATCATACTCTTTCAATCGTAAAACAACTTTTGGGAAATTTTTATCACTTGTTCAACAGTAAAATTGTGTGGGATATCAGTCAGTTAATTACATTGAGTCATTACAGGTATGAACTTGATTTCATATTGTGTGAAATCCTGCAAATAACTGACACTGATTAAATTGGTGGCTGTTCCGTTTAGCAAGTTGTAAAGATATTCTGATTTACATCTAGTTGTAAAAATTTTAGCAGTCGTAAATCTCAATACTCGTACTCACTTGTAGCCCCAACAAAACAATAAAAAACACAACCTTGGGTAATCAGGATCTTTAACTTGGAATATATTATTGGCTAAATGGGTTGAGAAGAATTTAGGGGTTTATACTTTAAAATTGATTGGAGAATATATTCTAATACAGGTTGATTGATGAGTCAAAGCATCACATTCTCAAAGCGGCACATCCTTCTGGTTTGTCAGCAAACAGGGGCTTCTTTGGCTGCAGGTCGGTTTAACTCCATAATATTTGGTTCCCACTCTGCCATTTCTATCCAAATAAAGTAAGGATGGCGATAAGCTTATAATTAGTTTGTTAAAAAGTTCGGGACCGGCTGTTATAACCGGTACTGCATTATCCTGGGTTTTCTTTGCTCTACTTAAGCAAAATTTTCACCTTGTGTGCAACTTGCAAGCGCAATACCGGGTATAACTCCATGGGTTTGTTTTTTCTTTTTATACTCATGGATGGTTACATGTCTGGAAATATAATTGTATGTTATTACGTCAAGTAAAACTAAATGGTAACAGATAATTTGCTCATCATGATGTGAACAGGCATTTTTCTCGCACGAACCAGCTTCTGGAGGAGATGGGCATTCCTCCCATAGACTGGCAACTTTGATTTACAAAAGAATCTCAGCAGCGAGCAGCACGTATTTGTAACTTATTTTGTCTATGAAGTTCATGCATGACTACCTTTGGGACTTCTTCAGACGTTGATATGTTAGTCGAGTTGTACAGAATAGAGAAACCTTTTGGTAGTTCTAAGTTTCTCACTCACTATCTGAGTAGTGTTGCCCCCTACGCTATTCGTTTTGTCCGACATAGTCGATTATTTTGTGCTCTTTTGAATGTCTGCTCTTTCGTGGTAACAGAGAATTCCTTTCCCTTCAGTTATGTTGTACTTGTACGAAACAAATGGCACTTCCTTCATTTCTCCTACGTAATTACGTATCCTAAATTTCATTTTCTAATTCCAATATTTTATCGTTTAAAACGAGTCGTTAGTATTGCAATAAAAAATGATGGCGTCAAGGTGACGGTGTCCCAAATCAATCGTCATGTGACTTTATATTATTGGTCCGAAATTTCACGGTAACGTTGCGTGCATAGTATAGGTTGAGTCCTTGCAGTCACGGTTGGCAAATTCTACACGCCCTATCCACACTTCTGGTGGCTCCAGAAACACATCCCATATGCCCAACAAAACTTGACAGACTTGGATTTTCTGTCATCCACGTGACTAGTTGTGATTGGCCACAAGCTCACCAATGGTCAACACAAGCCACCACTCGTGAAGCAAAGGGCTTTCTTTGTCAGCCACGAGACAACTGCTGCTCTTAAGTAGCAAAAGGCAACGGTCCTGATTAATTTGGCTAATTTACGTACAATTCTGAGTTGTGAGCAGCCGATGAGTAGAGTATCAGTTGCAGAATCACCACTAAATTATTGCCATATCCGCATTCGACTCAGATACCGTTTCTATTCCCGTTTGATTTGCTCCACTACCAGGTTGGATTTTTATATTACATGCTGGATTTCTGCGGTTTAATTGATAACGGTATTGTTTTTGTTCTTGTATTTTTTCCAAATTTAATTTCTGGTCGTGTTTGAATGAATGGTTAAGCTAGAATCATTATATTGAATCATGAATCTGTCGTTGCTAGACGCGGGTTAAGCCAGTTGGTTAGGAAGCGTGCACGTCCCTCCACCCGAAGTTTGAATCCCCCTCCCCGCAGATTAAACTATTGAATCCTGAATCAGCAAGCATGGTTCTGAATTCTTGTTCTTGTAATTATCCAGTTTGCATTTTTTCTTCAAAGAAAGCGTTTGGGATGTGTATATATGTTACTAAGGGTAATTCTTGTTCTTGGGATGCTAGAGAAATTTTGTAGTTGATACGGATGAGACTGCATTTTTCAGGACATGACGAGCATAATTTCAAGTCACCGTTGTAATTGGTCGTTTGGAGTTCAGGAGACTGTTAACGTAGGAAAAGGATTCAACAAGGTTTTGTTCCCGGGATGTAATGGTTCATACTTCCCTTCAAGAGGATTGGGTTTTTCCACCGGTAATTGCCACATTCGTCATCAAAGTAATCGGAGACATAGGCCCATCTTTTCGAGTACAACAGATGATGGCAACGACATAAATCCAGATGACTCGGAAGATACAAGTGATGCAAAAGAAACCGGAGGGGTAAGCTTTCTGCTGCCGTATTTGTGAACACACTGCTGACAAATTGCGTCGTGGTCTAATGTGTTCGTCTCAGTCTATTCGACTTAATCTTGAGCTTAATGTGTGTGTATTATTACTTCAGGTGGATAATAATGAAATGCTGAGAGAGAATCTTGAAAGACTGGTTGGTAGAGATGATTCCGCGTTTAGCGGGATAGACCTCGCAACTCTTATTAGGAACAAGTACGGCAGGTCCTATGACGTTCAACTCATCAAGAAGGTATGTTATACAGGCGGAATTCCTCGTTGGATTCAACTTTGGTTAAGTTAATATGTTAATTGCGATAACTTGCACAGTTGCACATATGAGTTGGAATTCCCTTGAGACTTTGATCAAGGATGATTTCCGTTCTGCATCCTGATGATATCGTAATTGGGGTTGATCAGAAAACTGTTTTAACTTGTGCATTTGCCCAACGTAGGAGTTCCTTGGAAGAAATCTCCTTGCTTTGAATGTCATGTGGAAGTATATGGAGCAGGTATCCAAATTCTTACTCAACAAATTTGAAAAACTTATTTCTTGTTGGAACAAGCAACAGATCATCGCGAAACACGAATTGAGCTAATCCGAATCCAAAATTTCCTTCAGAGATCGTTTCCACTGACGGAAGAAGAGTATCTGTTGAGGCTCGACGACGTTGCAAACACGTTGAAATGCTGGGGAGCTGTGTCTCATATCCGAAACAGCCTAGCAACGGTGAAAGAGAGGCCTCGGATAGGAAAGGTACTATAACATCATCCCATCCCATCCGATCATCTGCAAGTAAAACCAATGTTTATGAGTAATTTGTTGGAGTGATTTTTGTGCAGGCAGTTAGCATTTTCATAGACATGGACGAGTCTGGAGGGCGTGCAAATGAATGGATTTACAAGTAAATTTGGGCAAGAGTTTGGAGTTGAAAGCAAATTGTACACTCGTTTGCATATTTATGCAGCATATAAAAGCTCAGAGCTGCTAGATTAATTAGCTATATAGCACAAATACGTCAGTCTGAGAGACTTGTTTGAGGACCGACACAAATGTTCAATATAAATATTGTTTTTTTAACAAACGATATTATCTACATTTAGGAGACGAGGGAGTGAGCTTATCATAATAATATGGTTCAAATTCGTCTTTGCAAAAATCGAACTTTAAGACCTCTCACGCACAAGTGAATAGATATACAACTAGACCGTAACACTAAGTGACAGTATAAATATTAGATACGCGTTATTTGATTATTTAATGCTGGCTGGCTCAAAAGGAAAATCAAATTCTCTATATGACTAATAATTACCTGACGATAGTACCTTTTAAAGGATTAACCACGAATTTTAGATCTGTATTCACGTAGATCGTTCTAGGTTCTTGGCTAGTGAATCACACAATGATGGTCAAGAAAATTTGAAATGCGTTTGAATCTTTTCGGCATCTGAAAGAATGGACAATCGTTAGTTGGAGGGAATTTCAGACCTATATTTTATGTAAATCGTCTTAGATTATTGACGTTGATGAATCCTATGAAGATTGAATTAGCTCTACAAGTCTTTTTGGTTTTTGAAAAAATGAACTGTCGTCGTAGCTTCACCGCCGGTTGTCCTATTTCGAAAAATAAATAAATAAACCATGGCAAGTTGCTTAACTTTTAAAATGAACAATGCCTTTAAAGCATCAATGACAAGAGAAAGAGCTTCCTCCTTCCTCGCAGATTCTTGTCACGGTCCTTGGAGTTGTATTCTCCAGCAAAAACCCTAAACCTAAACTAAAACTCCGCTTTTTTCTTCCATGGGGTTGTTTTGTTGATTATAAATAAAGAATAAATAAAAAACCAGTCACTCACACTTCAGATTTTTTTTAACTTTCCTAGAAAGTGAAAAATGATTTTCAGAAATTAACCAAAAAAATTAGAAAATAAGGAAATTTGAAGCCACTTCATTGATAGCTAGCAAACATCAAGCTGCTTCAGAATGATTGATGGTTGTGATCATGATGCAGCAGCAGACTTCTGCAGCACCTCCGTCGCACTCAATCACTACTCCCCCTTCCTCCACCACCACCACCACCCCCACCGCCATTAGATCACCCACGGCAACCCCTACACACTCCCAGCAGCACCCCTCGCCTCTCCACCGCCATGCTCTTCCTGTCCCGCCGCCTCCTCTCGACCACGTGCTGCCGATTGCGGCCGCCCACCCGTCCGGCGAGCCTGCGCCGACAATTCAGTGCCAGCTCGCGAGGGTCCGGCTCTCAGATATTGCCCCGTACCACGGGGCACCCGGTGGGTCGTATGTGAGGGCGGTGGAGGCGCTCTCGGGGTCTCTGACGAGGCACAATGCGGCTGTCATCGAATTGGGGAGCGAAGACACGGCGCTCCTGCGGTGCGGCTTGGAAGCCTCGAGGTTGTATTTTAGGAGCAGAGCTCAGCTCGGTGCTGGGAAAGGAAGCCGTGGAGTTCACATGTACAGAGCTGGGAGGTATTTTGCGTAATTTTGAATTCGTTGTTAGAAATTTGAATTAGGGCGTGTTGCAGTGTTGGTGATTACTGCAGGTTGCAATGTGTGTTTTTCCGGCCAAAGCATTCGCCTTTTTCGAGTTTCACATTGTGATTGCTAATTACATTGCACTTAGCTATGAGCTTAAATTGTGATTCTTTGTTTGTGTACTAATTTATCTGTCCGTTTCTTGTTGAATTGAGCTTTTGCAATAACTGTCTTGGCATCGTTGTCCTCGGAGAATTGAGATTTGGGAGTCTAAGGAGCTTCACTTGTTGCAGGGCTTTGGAAGATTGGGACTCATCCCCACCGTGCATGGCGGATATTTTTAGGTGCATGGGCAAGGCGGCCCATGTGGCTTTGTGTGCAGTAGCTAGGCATCTTCGTTTGCGAAGCGAGTAAGGATGGTGATGTTGGCTCTTTAATCTTTTGTTATACTTTTCTTTTAGATTTCGTGCTAACCATTTTTGTATCTGCTCATGTAACACCTGTGCTTTGCAGTGTTTTCAACCATTTGCTTGACGATACTCCATTGCCCACTAATGAGGTGTCGTCGTCAATTCTGGTTGCAACATACTCAAATGCTTCCTTGCAAAATGGAAAAGGTGCTATTGGGGGAGGGAAGCCAGGAATGAATGCTGAAGTTGAGAAGGGATTATTAACGTTGGTTTCCTCAGATAGTCCTGGTATACAGGTGCCCTTCTTTTACTTGATTCTCTGGTATTAGAAGATTGGTTAGTTATTTGCATATATGAGCTTTACATCTTATTGTCATTTGTATCAATTGTCTTCTAAACCCTTCTGAAAGAAGATCATTCGCTTCGTGATTGCTCAAAATTACTTGTGAAAACTATTTTTTGTTCAGGTATGTGACCCCAATGGTCGTTGGTACCTAGCAGATGGTGGGTCAGCTGCTGGGGATCTTTTACTACTTACAGGTAAGGCACTCAGCCATGCTACTGCTGGCCTCCGCCCAGCTGCACCGTATAAAGCTGCTCCCGATTACTCTTCAGGCATTAGTAGTGGTGGGAGGTACAAGTTGTCTGGTTGCCTTCTCATGCTGTGCTTTATTTATCCACCATTTCAATCATATTATCAGAAATTCATTTGGAATTAACCTAATTGCATTTCATGTTTATAGGACATCGCTTGCATTTAGGCTCATGCCACAAGGTAACGCTATATTAGATTGTTCTCCAGTTGCAGCAGCTGGTCATGTTATTCCCCACAGCTATGTCCCAATATCTGTAAGCCAGTTTATGGATGATCTTTCTGCTGAGGAAGATGTATTGGGCAGTCGTTCTGATAACACTTATGTAAGTTTTAGCTTCAAGTAGCTGATGCACAGCAAGCCCATAGAGATCCAAAGAGAATATAATGACATATAAAAAGCAAATAATGATG